AGATGTGAAATAAAGTTAGAGAAATCTCATTAATGTTTGGACATGTGCAGGTGTAGACATGGCTACTTCCATGTGGTGAACAATGACTACACACATTGGGAGATGTATGCAATTGGAGGAAGTGCTAATCCTACAATCAATAGTCAAGGGAACAGATTTGTGGCCCCAAATATCAGATTTAGCAAAGAGGTGACTAAGCACGAGGACGCACCAGAGAGCGAGTGGAGGAGTTGGAATTGGAGATCTTCTGGAGATTTGTTGCTAAACGGAGCATTCTTCACGCCTTCTGGTGGTGCCTCTTCCTCTTCCTATGCCAAGGCATCTAGCCTTGGGGCTCGACCTTCTTCTCTCGTTGGACCATTGACCTTGTCCTCTGGTGCACTCAATTGCCGTAAGGGTGCACGTTGCTGATTGTGGCCTTTTCTATTAAAAAAAAAAAAATGGTCACTTCAGTTTTTCACCTTATATAGAAAAGGCTATTAATTTAAAGCCCACCAATTAAGGGGATGAGTATTTAATTACTCTCTTTACCCCTCTTAATTTACTCTCTTTTTTATTTTTATTTTGAATTATGGAGAATACAACCTCTCGCTTGCTGCTCTTAGAAAAACCCTTTTAAGGATTCTCTGTTTTGAGGAATCTATCTTTATTTAGGTCAAGTGTGGGGAGCAAGTGCAGATGTGTTGATCTTGATATCAATATATATATTATTTGTCTATTTTGTTTAATTTGATCTACTACGAATGTGTAATGTCTACATAGATGAAAACAAGCACGTTTAATTGTCCTGTATGGAAGTCTTTAGAAAACAGTTAGCCATCGCAAGAAACAAAAAATACGAAATTTTTAAAAGGAAAAAAAAAGAACAACCAATTATAAATTTGGCACACGAGATGGAGAGGTTAAGTTAGTTACAATGCTCATTTGGCATTTTGTAGTTAGTGCATTGGCATGAATCATTCAGTTGGGGCTTTGGTTTTCCAAATAAATTTACTACTACTATTTATTCAGAAGTTTTGGAATTTTGTGTGAAATGGATACCTTTTTGGTCAAAGTTGTGGGAAACAGTCAATGTATGACCAAAGCCGCGACTTTTTTCACTCTGGCCAATGCATCGATTTCGGTTAAATAAGATTTACCATTT